TGGAGCAGTGCCCTGCTGTCCTTGGCTAGGCCCGTCCAGCCAGAGCTCTTTGCAAGGCAAAAATGGGAAGTCCCTGGCTGTGTAACCTAAATACACCAGGGAGCAGAATCCTTCAATGGGAGTTAGGCGCCTTGCTCTCTCGATGATGCCACCCTCCCTGTGATTTGGAGCATTCCCAAATGGCTGTCAGTCAGCGTTGCTGGCCCTGTTCTCACTCACATACAGTATTATCTCTACCCGCTGCTGTAAATTGGCTCTGAGCAATCCTTGATCTGTCAGCATCGCCTACCCACTTTCAGATGTCACCAGCCCCCGCTGCTGCCCTGCTCAGTAACGTGTCTCTCTAAAATGTAATAATTCATTAAGTTGAGTTTAACTTTTTTTTTTTTTCCTCCATCTCTGCCACCCCTTTCTCCTTCTAATGGACAAAAGCAATTAGACTCTATTAGAGCCTGGGAGTCTGGAAAGTGTCACCCTTGGAGACACTGCAGCAGCTGAATGGACCTTGTCCCTCAATGTGTCGAGCACCTGCTGCTTTCAAATTAGAGCTGCTTGAGCAAATGGCTGGGTACCGGGAAATGTCCCTCCCTGTAATAGCCCAGCTGCTTCTGACAGTCCCCCTCAGTAGCAGTGGGCTGGGCGCTTTCCTAAGTGAACTGTACACAGCAAACTTGGGGCTTCGTAAGGAGATCACTGAAAAAGATGCTCTCATTCCCTCCTATGGAAAGGATTTTTTTTGGCTTAGCTGGTCCTTCTGGCTGGGTTTCATCGTGGACGCATCATGACAGCTTCGCTCACTGAACAGCCCCTGCAGTGAAAGGAGGCGAAGGCACCAGCCTCAGCCGACCAGGAGCTACCAGGTGGCCTGGAAAGCAGGAGGGACAGGCAAGAAGGAGACGAGATGTAAGTCAGCGTGGTTGTATTGGCTTCAGTGGAACCATGCTGACATATCCCAGCTAAGGATCCGGCCTGCGAGGTGTCTTCTAAGCTGTGGAGAATGACATTCGGGGAAGCGTAATTAGAGAAGAGCTGCCTAGTCCCAGATGGCTTGTAGAGACTGGTGCTCCTGCCTGCCAGGCTCTTCACCTGCAGATGAGCGGGTTTGAAACTCACCGTGGGAAAGTTTCCGGCACCCTCGTTTGCAGAATATATCTTCTTGGTCAGGCTGGCAGGCTGGCCCAAGTCTTCTGCTGATAAACTTTCCAGCAGGAGGTTATGCCTGCATGGGACCAACTTTCCAAGGGCAGAAGGATATGACTTTCACCAGCTGAGCAAATCCAGGAGGAGAAAAGCAACTTAGCTATAGACTCTGGCTGTAAATGACATCTTCTCATTTCTTGATGCCCCAAATTTGCTAATGAATAGAGGCTGGTGAGGGATTGAGGGATGAAGCCACAGCTGCAGTTGTCCGCCCTTCTCTCCGTGTAGCACAAGTATGGTTTTTTCACACGTGGTGCCTGAAATGGGAAGTATATTTGCCCATTGGTTATAGGAGGGTCTTTCTTCTTCCCTGTCTCCTTGCTTTCCTCCTGCCGTTCTTTCTTCCATTTACGCTGTTTTTCTCTTCCTTTCCTTTTGTTCTCTCCCCCTCCCCTGGCCAAGGAAGAGAAAAAGTCTCATTTTGGTCTGAAATCCAGAGATGGAGGGGCAAGAGTCATTTGATGCCTAATGCTGGAACGACAGGAAACTTAACCTTCCTCGGGTGGAATTAAAAATGCTTGAATTGTCTGGGGATCTTAAACAAGAGATGCAGGGAACATTCAGGGCTTTTCACACAAACACACGCATACGCGCACAAACACACACGCGCAAGCCCACGCAGCATTAAGAGTGTAATAGCTCAGCTGGGGTAATGCACTTGAACTCTCTCTGCAGCAGACAGACCAATTCTTTCAGTTGCTTTGAATATTTTGAGGATAGAGAATGCTGCTAGTCTCCAGGGAGGGAGACATTCGTCTTGTAAAAAGCACAGTGCCATTTGTTCTTCATAATCACGCTTCTTTCAGAGCGTAATTAGAGCACTGTGGGACTGGGAGGGGGCTCAGGCTCTGAACTGAATTTCTCAGTGGCTTTTTCCTCTGTGCAACTCGGGCTTTGGACCTGCTGGAAGTTTGTGACTGGAACGGAGGCTGGCTCCGCGCATGTGGGGAGCTCAGGGTGCTGAGCAGGGGGCAGGATGGGGCCTTCACCTATGTGATTCCATCTCCAAGCTCATTATCGGACTAGAGAGTGGCTGTTGCAGCCCAGGTATCTAGGCTAGTGTGTTGGATAGGGAGCTGCAGCCAGCAAATTCCATCCAAATAATATATTCACAAGAAAGAAAGGATGTGCTGGGGGGATGTCTGGTGTAGGATGTGCTCGCTGTGCATGAAAGTGGCTGTCAATAGAGGTGTAACACATGGGTTGAGACGTTCCAGGTACTTGGCGTGTGTGAACGTGGGGTGTGGGACCTCCTAGACGCAGGTCCAAACGTGTTATTTCACGTACAGCACGCAGCGTTGGCGTAAGGATAGCACGTGTATGAGGTTGCCTCTGTTTTCACCCCTGTATTTCCTGCCAAATATTTCCGTTTTTCTGTTTGTGCATGATGGCCTTTGCATAAATGCTTAGGGCTTTGTGTGTTTCTTCAGACAGGGTGGGTGAAAGTCTCCGCTGTTGGTGGAGTAGCCTGAATGGACCTTCTGTGCATGGCTATGGATACGTGCCTATGAGAAAGCAGACCGCGCTTGTCAGCAGGGTCTTGTATTTTAACTGAACGTGTGAACGCGTATGTAGTCTTAACTGCATATTGGCATCTTTGCACAGCTTTGGCTGGGATATAGGTGAAATCTTATGTCATATGTACCTAAGAGTGTGTTTATGCTTATGCCTAGGAGTGTGTGTCAGCACGGGGATGTTAGTACATCAATGCATCACATGTGTGAGAGGTTGTGCAGATCTGCACGTGTAGCGGCACAGCGTTAGCCCTGGTTGGTGTTACGTGGTGCTCGGCCTGTGCAGGCGTGTGACCTTGCTCTGGGTGGCCGAGCATTGTGCCCACCGGGTTCTGGTCTGGTTTACGCATTCCCATGGCAATAGCACCAGCCCCGGTATCGGTAAAGAGCATTGCTGGTGCCAGCTTGGAGCTGTGTGGCCCACTGGGTGCTGGAGCAAAGCGGCTTTTGCAGCAGGAGCACCTAGCTGCAGCCCTCCTTTTGCAGGGACTGGCAGCTCGGCTTGGACTGAAGCATGGACGTAGGGTGGGAGTGAGGATGGGTAAAGGAAGAAGGACCGGTCCTTGCCTGAATCATGTATTTGGGATTTGCAAGCCACTTACTGGACCCAACGCCTGTCCTGCTGCCTTGGAAGCACCTTAATCGCAGCAAACTTAATTGCTGTCACCTCCCCAACTCCCAGGCTTTCAGTTTTCTCCTGGTGGGTCTCTGTCCAGCCAAACTGCAAGGGGGAACACTGGCTCAGGAGTCAGGAGAGCTGAGCTATGATTGCCTTGACCCACCCTTGCTGGCTGCTTTTTCTGGCCATTCTTCCCAGACTCCCTGTGCATCAGTTATTCCTCTGCAGCAGTGTGCAAAATGTCAGGTTGCATAAGGAGATGTGTGGTGAGTAATAGAGAGAAAACCCTGGAAGGTCTGTGTGTAAGTTGGTAGTGGGATCTCAGCTGGAAGCTGGGCCGGGACTGGTCATTGCTTCTTGACAGTAAGTGTGGGACACAGTGAGTTGCAAAGAAGGACAACAGGGATGTTTGAAGCTGTAGGAAAACCCTCCAAAGAAGGAGAGAAAAAGGAAAATCATAAATGCGAGCCAAAAACTGTGCACTCTAGTGAATGGCATCGCAGAAGATTGCTAAGACTTTCCAACTTTCCTGTCTTGCAACATGAGGAGAGAATAAGGCCTAACGGACTGCAAAGACAACAAACCACAACTGCACAGTAACGCGGTAATGCACAGCCATGAAACCCATGGCCCTGTGCTGTGGCCAAGGAAGCCAGAAGTGAAAAGCTGTGTGACCGTTATATGACTACTCAACTTACCCTCATAGGTTTAATAGGGAGCAAGATTTTGGAAGGGGCGTCAAGCCTTCAGGTGTGGTGCCTTACTAGAGATCAGGAAGCTATCCAGGGTAAGTGCTGGGTTACCAGCCCACGGTGGGGTTTTAAGCCAGGCAAACGTTTGGTAGCCATTGTCAGAGAAGCAAACGGACCACGTGAGCCTCGGACGGGGGCATTGCCTTTGTTCTTCCCCATGCATCTCATCCTCTCCTTTACAAGAAGGGCTTTGCAGCACTTCTCCTCTCCCTCTGTGTTTGATCTGTCTCTCTTTTGAGTGTAAATTTCTCCATTTGGGCACTGTCTCTTCTGATATGTTTGGGGCACCTGAGGTCTTGCTGTATGGGAGGGCCCCAGGGAAGGGAACAAAGAAGAGGGGAGAGCCTGGGGGCCAAGCCATTCTCCCCTCTGTTCGCCTCTGCCCTTTGTCCTTGGGCCCCTTGCCGCGAGCATGGCTCCAAGCAGGTCTACAGAAGAAGAAATCCTGCCTTTGTGCCCCAAAGCAGCAGCCCAGAGGAGCTGAGATGGGGTTGAGTGGGGTTGTGGGAATGTCCCCCTTGAACAGCAGCAGCTTCTAGACAGGGGCACATCGGGCCAAATGGCAGAGCAGTGGTGTATTAGCTCACGTGCATCGGCATCTTTCCTCCCGCAAAGAAGCCTCTTTCCCCTCCCACCTCTCTTTGCCCCTCTGTTCGTTCATTCATTCATTCATTCATCTCATCTGTCTGTTCTCTAGCTGCGCTTTGCCTGGCAGTAAGTAGCCCTTCGTCTCACTCATTCCTCCAGCAGTCTTCCCTCCTCTTCTCTTGGTGCTTGCGCTCACCCTTGGTCACTGCCTCGCCCAGGGCTCCCAGCTGGCAGTGCCCATTGTCCTCCCGCACAGCGTGCCGGGCCCCTGTGCAACCCACTGCTCCTCAGCTGCTCTCCTAAAATGCCCCTTCTGCCTTTTTCCAGGGAGTTTGCCAAAGAGCGTGAGAGAGTGGAGAACCGCCGAGCCTTCATGAAGCTGCGGCGCCAGCAGCAGATCGAGCGGGAGCTGAACGGCTATCGCGCCTGGATAGACAAAGCAGGTATAGTCTTGCTGGCTACCGGGAAGGTGGTGGGGCCCAGAGCCCTGTCGGCCTCTGCCCTCATATGGTGTCAGTGGTTTTCCAGTTAAATCTGTCCCTGTGGTATTTTGGTGCCCTGGGCTTCTGCCCTGACCTGGGAGAATGTAGGTGGCAGTAGTGGCACTTCTTGGCTTCCTGCT